GGCCCAGACCCTCGGAAGAGTCAAGACCTGCATCAACCTCTGACATCGTCGCCTTTCATTACTCTTCCTGCGACTTTGACAAAGCTAGGCACATACCCGATAATAAAACTGTTTGAATGAGTGAATGAGCCGAGCTTAGAACATTAGGTTGCTGAGATCAGGGTTTGGGGTCCCAGCTGTCAATGGCTCTCAGAGTCCAGGCCACCCTTGCCGCTCGGCGCTGCTGGTCACTAAGGGATGGATGAGTGAGTGTGAATGAGCCTCCCGCCACTCAGCCAGAGCTAAAGCACATTCCCTGCAGAGGGGTCGGGGGCCTTTCCCTCCTTCACCTTACTGCTTCCCATGATGCTGATCTCGTTCAAAGTGACTGGAGCCTCATAGGAAAAGAAATAACCAGATAGAACCAGACCGAGATGGCAACACAGGCACTGCTGTTAGGGCTAGGCTGGGGACAACTTCAGACAGGCTAGGAACACAGTCCAAGCGAACAAGTGTCCCCAGGCTACCATGAAAGGAGTTGGTGCTGGGGATCTAATCAGCTTAATAGGGCATAGCAACCAGACAACCAGCAACCATAGGGCTCCCAGTGGCCACCACCTCTCTTGGGCTCCAGCCAACTGTCTGGAGCCCAAGAGAGGTGGTGGCCACTGGGAGAACAATTCAAATGCAGAAGGATCCCAGCCAAGATAGCATCCAGCCTTGGGGAAGCACTATAGACTGGTCCATAACCAAGCTAAAGACCGAAAGGCACTGGCCCCCCTCTCTGATTGGAAAGGGCTCTCAGAGGGGACACAGGAGCCTGGCGGGTGTGGCTGCCTCACTAGTCCTAGGTTGAAACATTCTTCAGCTTGCTTCCCTCAGGCATTTGCTAGTTAGGATATTCTTCCTCTCATCTAAGCACAGAATCTCCAGATGAAGAAGAGGAGGCTAGAGGAGAAGAATACCGGGGAGGTGATTAATACAAGCCCTGCTTCTCCGAACGGTAATTCAAAAACTGGGGCTGGCCAGAAGCCAGGTGGCTGTGGGTGCCCGGGAAGGCAGAGGCAGGGAGCAAACAGGAGTGACTGACATGTCTAGCTGCGACACACTGAAGAGCAGGGGCCTTTTAGTCTAATGCGTTATGGCAGTATCTTACCTTATAGGTAGAGAAATCCCCTAATGGTGTGACCTGTCTAAAATGTGACCTCGAGATTGGATACTGATACCAGCTAAAATCCCTTTGCTCTTGTGAGTAAAAATCCGCCCCCGTCCCCAGCTGATTCTCTGAATACTAGGGGCCTTGGATTGAAAAGGATGGGAGCAAGGCCCCCAGGAATTCTGGAGTTTTGAGGCAAAGAGGGTAATTACTTCAGTCTCAGGAATGGGAAGATACAGGGTGGACAACTCCTCAGGAGGACATATCTCTGTCTACTGACCAACTGCTGCTCCCTCACCCAACCTTAGTAACCTAACATCCTTAGGGCTGTTCCTGGGATTCAGTGCAGACTAGGGTCACCCCAAAAGGAGGGCTCCTAAGGAACACTGCTTTGCGTCTGGATCTCCCTATGGCCTCGCCTGTCCTATCGGGACAATACTGCCTGGAGGCTTGCTCTTGCTCCCCATCTACACACTCTAACATGCTTATCCTGATGAAATCAGGTGGAACCAAACTCCAGGGACAATTTGGAAGGGGAAGGGAAGTGAAAAATGGTAAATGTAGAACAGGAGATGTGAGGAGGAAGAGAAATTCACTCCTGGGATTAGAGGGAAGAGACAATATATATATTTTAATGAATATGGGTCTCAAGTCCCAAATTAGTCAGGATTTCTTTTCTCATTGCAATGAAAAGAAACCCAACTATCCCCTGGCTGGAGCTAAATCTGCAAGGACATCAGGCCTGGCTGCATACAGAGCTCTCACCATGTGGTCAAGACTGATTTCTTTCCAACTTATAGCTAGACTTTCATCTACATTGGCTCCATTCTCTAGCAGACATTGGCAAGATGGCCCCAGGAACAGCAGGTGTTAACCCTCCTAGCTTCCATTCTACTGGAAAGAGTTTCGACCAAAGTCAGAATTGAGTCTTATTGCCTGGTTCGGGTTCTATGCTCACTCCTGGATTCCAGGAGTGGGGTCATCTGCTCCCAAACTGCAAGATCTGAGCATGGGGGAGCAGTGATTTTTCCAATAAAAGTCAAAGTGCTGTCATCAGAAGCAGAGAACGCAACAAATGTCCTATAGACCCTATCTGGAATCAGCAAATCAAGTTTCCTAACATGAGGGTGTCCAGTTAGCCACGAAAGTACGTGTCAGGGGTAGGGGAAGCATTTAAGCAGGTGGATGACATGAGGAACTTCTGACATACTCCTGGTCCCCCAAAGGCTACCGTCAGTCTTATCCACCTTTGTCTTCAGTCTTAAAGCACGAGGTCAGGACGTTTGACTTGAACTACCTCCCAGGCGTTTAGGAAAACTGCGTTCAAGAAAAATGAAGAATGGTTAGCAAAAATGTCATTTTTCCTAGTGTCTAAAAGAGGCAGAAACTACTTGGAAAATTCTAGTTTTCCTAATTCAGGGGATCTGTTTAATTTAGTTAGCTCCCCGGGGCTCCTGGGTGGCTCAGTCATTGAGCATCTGCCTTCGGCTGGGGTCATGGTCCCAGGGTCCTGGGATCGAGCCCCGCATCGGGCTCCCTGCTCCGCGGGAAGCCTGCTTCTCCCTCCCCCACTCCCCCTGCTTGTGTTCCCTCTCTCCTGTCTCTCTCTCTGTCAAATAAATAAATAAAATCTTTTAAAAAAAATTTAGTTAGCTCTCGGGGGTTGAGTCTATCCACCAAGATGCCAGACCCAGTAATAAACTATTTCGGGAACCCTAAACTTCTGACTAAATGTTAAGAGAGGTCAAGTAGAAGTAGGGGATGGGGGTGGAGAAAAGGCAGAGGTTCAGGAGCCGTGGACTCTAGACTTTGGAAGAGAAAATACGGGCTCTGGAGTGAGGGAACCAGGCTTGAAACCTAGTGCTGGGGCGCCTGGGTGGCTCAGTTGGTTAAGCATCTGACCCTTGATTTCAGCTCAGGTCATGATCTCAGGGTTGTGAGACTGAGCCCCACATCCAGCTCCACGCTGGGCATAGAGCCTGCTTAAGATTCTCTCTCTCCCTCTGCCTCTCCCCTCCACTCCCTTTCCCTCTGCCCCTGTCCTCCACTCTCTCTCTCCCTCTCTAAAAAAAGACAAGAAAAAAGAACCTAGTAGGGCTATATACTAGCTATGTGACCTTGGGTAAGTTACTGAACCTCTCTGACCTTCAGTTTCCTCTTCTATAAAATGAGGATAATGATACTAACGCCTCAAATTGTCATAGGCTCAAATACAGTAGCATAACTAAAACCTTTATCACAGTATCTGGAACTTCAGAAAGTATATGATCAATGGTGAGTAGAGACTCCACCCAAGACTTCCTATTTCAAAGATTTTTTTTAAGATTTTAACATTTCAACATTTACTACACCATAGGCAGCCTCAGAAAAAGATGAGGGAAAGAGAGGGTGTTCTTAGAGAGAGAGACATTGAGCCTATTCTTCACTTCCTTGCTTAGTATCTGTGGCTTCCAACAGAGTCAGAGACCCGCAGCCTATTCCCAGGCCTGGCAAAACCCACGATTAGCCCAGACCAGGCAGGTGGCATGTCCCTCCATCTTAACGACCTCCAGGTAACAGATTTCTTGGCCTCCTTGCCTCCGGAATTCTATTAGGTAGGAGATGCCCTTCCTTGTGACCAGCTCCAAAACTTCCAGCATCAACCATAGTTTACACCCGTGCAGGTAGTCATTCAACTGTGGATTCATTCTCAGTGTAATAATTATTGGGCCCCTGTTATGTCAGGTACCATGCCAGTTGCTGGAAATACAAAAATGAGTAAGATGCCCTTGCCTTCAAGGGGCCTGAAGTCTGGAGGGAAGGAGCACATCAACAGTCATTGTAGTACGTGGTAAGCCCCTTAACAGAGGCCAGCTCTGAACAGTTTGGAAATCTCAGGGGCACCTAACCTGGCTTTGGGAGAAGGAACGCAGGGAAGGCTTCTCGGAGGAGGTGACACCTGAGCTGAGTCTTAAGGGACTGCTGAGCAAGCAGATCCAAGCAACAGTTATTTTGTGACTATTGTTTCTCAGCCTTTATCACACAAGAAGCCAAACGTTGCTTATTGTCAAGCTGATTATCACATGGAGATGATATCACATTGACTGCACTGGGGTAATTACCAAGCTGAAATTGTAGCCCAATGCCTGTGATTCCAGGGTAATAACAGCTTGGGCACTATGACCTCTTGTGGTGAATGATGCCCTATAGTCCTGAAACGGATGCACCCTAGGGCTTGTTGCAGCCTCCACCTTCAGTGGAAGGTTCAGGAAAGTTAATGGAAGTGACTGATCCTCACAGAGATTGGGAGTGGTGGCCCGCTAGAATAGAGCTTGGAATCATCTTTTTCCCTTGATCCAGAATCAGATACTGTGTGGGTGGTGACAAGGACCACCCTGCCTAGAATGTGGAAGGGAAGAACCAGATGACCTCCAGAGGTCCTCTCTTTTCAGGGTAGCAGACAATTTAAGAATCTGGCTCTTTCAAATTTACCCCAAGGACCTTGGCTCAAGGTACTGCTGTTGGTCTTCCCCTCAGACTAATCAGCCGGACTTCACACCACAATAGGAAAGGCGTCCTGGGCTCCCACGCCGCAGATGTGGCGAGCCCACGGGGCGTTCAGAAGGTGAGCACTTTGCAAAAGCCCACTCGGCAAACCCAAAATAGAATGCTGGCCACTAACATTGGTCAGATAAGCTACACTCCTCCTCGCAACATGAAGAGGAATGGTTTTTCCTGCCTACACACTTTCTCCTCCCCCCGAACTAAAATCCCAGAAAAAAACCGAGAAGATAAACGAAGCCAGATTGCAGCAACCGGTTGAAGCAATCCCTCTTCACCTCCCCTTGGTTCTGGCTGCTACCCTCCATCATCCTCACCTGAAGTTCCGGTAGACAAAGGTGCCTTTAAGGTAGACCCCCCCCCCATCACAAATGTCAGTGCGGAGCGGGGTGCTAGGGACGACCCAGGACAAGTCTTCAAGTGTCCCACATCTCCGTTATTGTCCTCTTTCTGTTTCTGGTGGGTGCCTGTCAGAATTTTCGGTAAGAAGGGCTCACGTTAGACCTTCTGAAGAATGTGCTGGCTTCTTAAAGATAAAAGCAGGAATGTGTAACCCAAGAAGGCAGCAGTCTCCTCAGGGCGATTTTAAGGAAGAGTGTTCTCTACCTGTTGAGTCCTAGGCAGGTCTGCTTCGAGGGAGGGATACAGACAGAGAGACAGACGGAGTGACTTCCCTGGAGCAGAGGGTGCCAACTTCTCCAGGGGTAGGGAGCGGAGCGGGACAGACAGCTGTTGGGAAGTGAGCGGTTTTTGTTAAAAGATTCCTGGCCCCAGCTCTCACTACCCTTCCCTTCACACTTGGGTCTGCCCCTCCATTTGCCCATTCTCCTCTCCCCACCCCTTCCTACTTCCTAGGTTAAATACAGAAAGTAGTTATCGGCTTCCCTCCTTCTTCTTCCTCTGCTAAAGCCTCTGCAGGGGGCACAGACATTTCTGCCATCCTCAGTTCCTGCCTTCTGGAAGCTCTTCAACTGAGATGGACACACAGACTAGCCAGACATTTAAAATACCTCCTCCCTGCCTTTGGGTTGGGCCTGGATACCACCCCCTCTCCACGTCTGTTCTTTATTTTCAAACAGCACAGAGGGGCGGGGCAGAGTCAGAACGATGACAGCTGGCCCCAGCTTTGTGACTTACTGGTCATCAGCCCTCCCATTTCCCCGGAAACCAGTGTAATGACACCTGTTTCTTAGGACTGCCAGAGCGAAAGGAGATAATGCAGGAAAAGTGGCCTGCCCATTGTCTGGCATATAGTAGGGCTCAATAAATAATAGTTGAATGAGTGACTGAAAGGTAAGTGCCCAACGCAAGCATTTGCCCAGGCCCCAGTGGGAAGCCTTGGTTCAAGGAGTCATGGAGATGGGGGCTAAGGAGCTACTTAAATAATGGGAAAGACTGAAGGAGCCAGATGCCCGAGCCTCTTCTACAAAGCCAATCCCACTCTAGGTTTCTGTAAGGGCCCATCTCCTGTGGTCCTCCCCAGGTGAGAAGGTGAAGGAATCCAGGATCCAGTCTCAGCTTGAGAATGAACCAGAAGGGCTAGAATCCAGTTCTTGAAATGGAGGCAGATTCCACTGCTGCCTCCCCTTTCCTGCAGCCCCTCCCAGCAGGGCTGCTCTCCCCAGGTCTCCCCAACACTCCCCCAGTCTATGGATCCTGAAGCCTGCAGAACCCACTTGAGCTGTGCAAGGTGAGGGAGCTCGTCAGCTCCAAGTAGGGGAGAAGAGCCCTGGACCAGCCGGCAGAGGACCTTTGTTCTATTCCTGCCTGCCAAATGAATCGTGTGGCGATCTCAAGCAGTTCCATCAACCTGTCCGAGCCTCCGTTTCCCCAGGGGCAGCATGGGAATAATACCTTCACACCCCATTCTCCCTACCATATAGGATTATTGCAAGGGTCAAATTAAATATTCCACATAGAAAAGGCACTTTGTAAACTGCGAAGTTCTCTACAAACACAGACGAGTCAGTGGAGGCTCTGGAGTGGAGGACCTAGGAGATGGGGCCAACCGGAAACTCTTCCTGTCTGGCATGGGGGCCAGGATGAATCCTAGCAGTTGGCTTTTCTTTGATCTGCATTTGAAACTTAATGAGCACTTAAGGCATTGCTGACACTCTAATTAGGATTAAAAATTAAATTCAAAAGCCATCATTTGTTTCCTTCTTTCCACACTCACTCCCTCAGCTCTGCTGAGCATAGCCATTAACCCAAAACTATTTTTAAAGTTGCTGTGCACTAATTTGTTATACACTGAAACAAATGAAAGACAGATATTTTGTTAGAAAAACAAATCACAATCAAACTTGGGTTAAAAAAAAAAAAGCACAAACCTAGTTAATGAGTTCAAAGTGAAATTAACACCAAACCACTACAGCCTCCAAAACAACTGAACCAGAATAAAATTGGAACAGCAAAATAGGCTCCCAGGTAAATCAAACTGATTCTGCATATCCTCAAAGGCCACAGATCCAAAACAAACAAACAAACAAACAAAAACACCCCACTTCTGGCCCTCACCTCCGCAGGTTCTGGCTTTCCCACACGAGATTCTGTATTCCTTCATTTCGCAGGATGCCCCCCCCCACCCCCGCCAGACATCCCAGAGGCGCTAAATCACTGGGGATGCAGAAATGAGGGAGACAGTCCCTTCCTCCCAGGAGCACATGGTCTGACAGGCTTTCCCTCTGTGAACATACTCCCACTGCCCAGTGCCAGTGCCTTCCCCCCAACACTGCTCTGCCCAACCTCGTCTGGTACAATGGAGTTCCCGGCACCCCCACTAACCCTGGTGATGGCCAGCATCAGAGCCTGAAACCGTCAACACACCAAAACACCAAAACCCCAACAAATACAACTGAGCCACAAAGACCTCTGTGGTGACAGAGATTGGCGATCCTCTGAGACCAACTCCTCCAAGCCCGCAGAGAAAGTGTGCTCTGATTTAATTCTGCACCGCACCCATGCAATTCAGACGCCATGCTTTCTAAGGACCTCAGTAAAGGCTGTCCCATCCAGTCCTCTCCACAGGAACTGCAGGAAGTGGGAAAAATGAAATTGCTGCCTGTCGGTGGGGATGAGCACCCACACTCAGCAAGGGGGCGAGCCGGAAGCCAGGCCTCCTGTGGAGGACCCAGCAAGGTTCCTGCAGGGGAAGGATGGCCCCGGCTGGCCGCTGAGACAGCGGCTGAGATTCGCTCCTCGCTCACACACGTACAGCCAGAGCTGCCCGTCCTTATCGCCCTTGGACCCTCCCCACTGAAGCCACTATTGTCTTCCAGGAGCAGAGTGCTCCCCATCTGGTTCCTGGAGCAACCCTCGCCACAGACTCAAGAGTGAGCGGTTTGATTGTATTATCTATCATCTTGGGGGCTGAACCTTGGCTGTTACCTAGTTGCAGCCTCCTTTTATCTCTGTCATCTTGGCCCAGGCCAATTTTATGGACTTCTGGCTCGATGTCGGCCTATCCCTCTTACCCCCAGTCCCTATGGGGGCATGCTTGTCCCCGAGCCTTTAGGGCCAACCTGTGGCTCTATCAGTTTCCCCAGCTCTGTCTTCCTGGATCCGGTTTCCTCCCCTTGCCCGGGGTTATGTATGACAAGGACTAGAGGCATGGGGGCAGATGTTGCTTGGATAAACAGCTTGCCTTCAGCCATCACCAGACTCCTCGGCACGGGAGTGGGAAGAGAGACACTGGGAAGAATTTCAAAGTCCAGCTGGAGCCCCACCAACTGGAAGAAGCCATCCCCCAAAAGCTCCAGCCCATCTTCAGCTTCCCCTTCACTAAGCTGTCTTCGGATTTTTTCTTTTTTTTCTTTTTTTTTTTTTTTTAAAGATTTTATTTATTTATTTGAGAGAGAGAATGAGATAGAGATGGAGAGCACATGAGAGGGGGGAGGGTCAGAGGGAGAAGCAGACTCCCTGCTGAGCAGGGAGCCCGATGTGGGATTCGATCCTGGGACTCCAGGATCATGACCCCAGCCGAAGGCAGTCGCTTAACCAACTGAGCCACCCGGGCGCCCTCGGATTTTTCATCTAGATCCTTTTAGACATGATCCCACGGTGTTTTGTTACCTCTTTTTTTTTTTTAGGTTTATTTTTGTTTTTTATTTGAGAGAGAGAGAGTGCGTCTGTGCGAGGGGGAGGGGCAGAGGGAGAGGGAGCACGAAACCTAAGCAGGCTCCTTGCTTAGCTTGTCACAGGGCTCCATCCCAAGAACCTAAGATCACAACCCAAGCCAAAACCAAGAGTCAGACATTCAACCGACTCACCCCTGTTGTTATCTATTTCATGTGTCTCCACAACTAGATGGGAGGCTTCGAGAAGACAAAGACTGTGTTTTATACAACTATATGAAACTGCCGAGCATCGCACTGGGCACGGATCATCCCTGCCTGCCACCTAGCTTTCCAATCTACCTTCCACACCACTGCCACAGCGAGCTTGCTCAAACAGACCTGGGGGGGTCACTCAGTGCCCTCGGTAGTCCAGCCCCCCAGGCTTCACTCCATCCTTCTTACCTCTGTACCTTTGCTCATGCCATTACCCTCACGGCTCCACCCCACTCACCCCTCCAAAACAGATTAAAGCTTGCTCTTCCAGGTTTTTCAGGTACCTCCAAATACCATCTCCTTTCTAGAGCCTTCTAACATTCCTGTCGGAAGTAGCCGTTCCCTGGAGTATCCATGGAAATATGGTAGTTATTGCTGCTAATCTCTTACTGTGCCTAATTTACAAATTAAACTTATCATAGGTACGTAGGTAGGAAGGTGCCCATAGGAAAAAACATAACATATATAGGGTTCAGTACTATCCAAGGTTTCAGGTATCCACTGGGGGTCTTAGAATGTATTCCCTGAGGGATAAGTGGGGCGAGGGGGGGGGGGGGACGGACTACTGTGGGGCACCTGGGTGGCTCAGTTGGTTAGGCGTCTGCCTTCAGCTCAGGTCACCATCCCAGGGTCCTGGGACTGAGCCCCAGGTCAGCCTAACTGCTCAGCGGGGAGTCTGCTTCTCCCTCCCCCTCTGCCTGCCGCTCCCCCTGCTTGCGTTCTCTCTCTTTCTCTGTGTCAAATACATAAAACCTTCAAAAAAAAAAAAAGGGGGAGGACTACTGTATTTTCATACTTCACTCTTTAACATGCATTACGTAGCATATAGTAAGCACTCAGTAAATATGTTTCAAAGAATAATTATAACACCTTCTATTATGGTTACTTGTGCTATGAATTTATCTTTTTCCTCCACTAAACCATAAGCTTTATTATCTCTGTACATCTTGTCTGGGCCCAGTGGATGTCGAAGCAGTAGACAGTCAAGAAGTGCGTCCTGAATTGAATAGTAGGTATCCAGTAATGAATAAAATGAATGAATAAAATTCACTGAAATGAGTGTACCTAAATGGGAGGTAGCAGCTCGAAGGGTTTCTATATTACTTTCTATATTACCTCGTACAAGGGACCAAAAAACCCAATTCAGTGTGGCTTATACATGCACAGTGAGTCATGTAACCAACTCATTTGTAGGAACAGCAAGGGCACAGTAGGCTATGAGGTACAGCTGACTCAAATGTTGCCAGGGACTCACTCTTCACCTCCCCTCTCAGCCTCCCTCCCCACGAAAGCTTTCCCCTTTCCCGCCGTCAGCGTCCTTCCGTGCGCAGGTAACATGGCTGCTGATAATTCCAGATCCTCACTCCTCACAGTGTCCACTGCTGGAGGTAAGCAACCCTTGTTCTTTCTGTGGTCCTAAGTTCAAAAATTCCAGGAAAGGATGTAATTGGCTCAGTTTGGGCCAAGTAGGGGTGGGACCTCTAATAACCTGACAGCTCCCATGTTAACAGTGAGGAGAAAGACTGTCTTAAAGAAGCGGGTGTGGGTGTGGGGAGAATGGTGGCTGTTCTGGAGGCAAAACAGCAGATACCCCCAGGAGGGAGAGATGCAGTTCGCATTCAAAGGCGTTGAGGAGAATCAGCAAGTGGGATCTGGGGAACTCAAGAGGGAGCTCCCAAGAGGCCAGAGGAGCATATTCTGTTGAACACGTATGCGGGTCCTCCCCACACCCAAGACCTCAAGCCTGCTGCTGGAAGAAACAAGGCACCGAGGTTTCTGGGTTTGCAGAAAACACAGGTTTCGGTGGCTGGCTCAGGTGTAGAGATAAGTCTGCGGCTAAAGGCCCCTAAAGTCACCTTGACCCATGTTTCACATCCTTCCCTCCTGCCTCCACAGGGCTGAGGGCTGGAATGGGGTGGAGGGTTCCTCTTCTCTCATCCCACCACCCCTGCCCGGGCAGAGGGAGCCCTGGGCTCTGAGAGAAGGGAGGACCTACCTGATGGCTGCCATGGAAGCCATATTCCTGGCCTGCCCAGGAATCCCAGCCGGCCAGAGGTGGGACACACATCAGAGCCTCCTGGGCAGCACCTCGCCCACAGAACAGGTCTCCCCGGAACCCAGGGAGTTTGAAGAGAGGATCTTGCCTTTCACATACTCACCAGCTAGGAACTGGCATCATGTCTCAGCCCCCACATGCCAGGCAGCCAAAGTAGACTTCTCCTTTAATGGGACCACACATCTGGCCTAAATTGTTACTCCTCCAAGACAAGTTTACTGAACAGTTGGGCAATGCTTCCACGCACAGCCACTGCAGACACAAGCTTAAAATATACTTTAATACATTTAAAGCACCATTCTGGAGCCCGGCTTTCTCATGATAAAGATGCAACTGACACTCATTGGGCTCCAAAATGTCAAGTTATTGCAATCCAGCAGGGAGCCTGACAAGCCATTAAATCTGAAGCTCTGTTCTGCGGATTCCTTTCCTTCCATTCCCATGTCTTCCCCAACAACCCATCTCGGCTCCTGAAGCTGACATTTTCGCAGGACTTTCCAAACTCTAACAAGGTATGGACCTTATCCTTGCCAGCAGGTCTTCCAAGGAAATGCCCTGTGGAGTGGGGTGGGAGGCACCAAAGAAGTTGGGAGGGGGGCGGGGAGTGAATGAGAACAAATCTCACCCTTGGTGTCCTCTAAGCGCCAAGGAGGGTGAAACTTGGAAAAGAAGCCCATGGATGGCTTCTGTAGAAGGTGACCCTAAAACCCCCCCAACACCCCTGCAACCTTCTACCAGCTGGGCAGGAGAGAAGAGGCACAGGACAGGCAGAGGCTTCTTTTGGACCTGGCTCCCAAGATAGGTGGCGGCAGGCAGTCCCCAGCACCACCTTGGGGGAGCTCTAAGTTCTGAGCCCAGTGTAACTAATCTAAAAAAGTTTCCTTCCTTTTATCTGTTTAACTTTCCCCGAGGTTAGAAATAGGATGCAGATGATTTCCTAAGAAACAGTGGGATAGGAAGACAAAGAGAGGAGAAAAGGACCCAAATGTTAGGCAATTGGAGAGGATGCTAAGGGGCAGAAGGAAAGTAGACTCTAGAAGCCCAATTCACAAGTCTGTTTCTCCATGTGCCTATGGTTCTCCGTCCTGGGGCAGGGAGGACAGTATGCAAAGCAGGACAGGCATGGTGTGAAGGGCTGGGTTAGGCTGGAAGGATCTAAGAAGCCTCTTCCCAAACCCTGAAGTTCTGGTAGGTCACCTTCTTCACTGCACAGTTGACAACCTTAACCTGTGTAGGTTAACATGCCTTCCAGAAGCATATGAATACGAATGAGTGGTGTGCTGAGGTAGGTGTGGGAATACATCAGTCAATGTAGATTTGTTGTGTGAATCAGTCGATGGTGCATGTTTGTACTTGAAAGCCACAATCAAAATCCAGGCAAAAGCTATGGGTGGTACTCTTGCACAATGCTGGTGGGGGTGTGGCTGTGGAGGTGTGATTAACAATTTATAGGCTGTGTATAAGTGCTCACAGATGCCTGAGTGAGGGCAAATGAAAAGAAATGTGTGTCGGAGTAGGACACAAGCACAGGAAAATCCTTGGACTTTGGAGTCAGTCTGATTGGCTTTGCATCCAGGCTCTGTCATTAGCCAGATGTATAACCTCGGGCCAGCCACTGATCCTCAATTTCAACTCTGAAATGAGGATAATAATAAGTACCTGCCAAGACTGCCATGAGCATTGGAAATGAGACCATATATACAACCAAAGCTTTTCTGCTTTAGCCCACACATAGTAGGGCTCAGAAGAAAGCAGCTATTATCATACACCGTGGATGGGCCCCTGGTAGGTACGGAGGTAAGAGGGGGCAAAATACGACCTAGGATTGTGTGTGTCAAGTCTGGGTGAGGAGGTGTGTGCTAAGATTTGTCTGTAAGCAAAGCTGTGTACTTGTGTGCATCCAAAGCGATTCCTTCTCCTCCAGGAGGCCCCCTATTCAGACAGGGGCAGGAGGGTGGGGCCGGTGGCGCAAGGTGCCACAGACACCTTGGGTTTCTGGGTCCTGGGTCTAAGTGAGTAAGAGGTTGAGAGGCCCTTAGGAGCTGCAGGAAGCCAACAGCCAGCAGAAGCTTCCTTTTTTCCCTCCACCCAGCAACGGTTGAATACCGCCACCCACATCCACTCCCCACCTCCACCCCCCACCCTACTTTCCTTCCCACACGTGACAGCAAGGGCGGGGAGGAAACCAGAGAGAAGAGAGGATTCCTCCCCTCCATTTCTCCATTCCCCCTTAAGACGAACCAGGAAGCAGCGGCAGCTCGAAATCGGGCCACCTTAACAGTAGAGTAATGGTCTGGCCTCCAGCCAAGCCCCACCTCCGCTCCAGCTCTCGCTCCTCCCCCTTCTCCTCCCTCACTGCTCCCGGAGAGCTGGTGAGCAAGAGTCTGGCCCGAGTTGGCTGGAGCTGTTGCCATGACAAGCATTTTCTTAAGAAACCTCTGCTGTTGAGACCGTCCAAAGCTGGGGGTTGAGGGGGGGGGAGCACGAACTTCTTGGGGAACCATCCCTCCGAGGAGAGCAAGGCCAGAGACACCCGTCCAGCTCCCCTGAACCCATTTTCTTCCAGGAACCTGAGAGGTCCTTCCCTTTGGGAGGGCCGGGGGAGGAGACCCAGCCCACTCCCTGGCCGTAGCTGGAAAGGCGAGAGGGCAGAGGCAGCATCTCTAGCGTGGTTGCCACACTGGGGAGACCGGTGGGTGGTCACCCCCACCCTACCCCGTCCATGGAAACCCGGAGGGAGAGTCCCGCTTGGAGAAGCCTGGATCTTTGCTAGAAAGAGAGGTAGGCTTGCAGAGAATGAATTGACTCGCGATTTGCAAACTTTGTTTCTTTCTTTGCTCTCAATGGCTTCTAAAACTCCCCGAATTTCCTCTGCCTAGCATGTTTCTTGCGACTGGGTTTGGAGTGTGTGTGTCTGTGAGCGTCTCTGTGTGTGTGCGCACAGATTTGTCAAACACCGTATTTCCTAGATTCCTTTCTGAGGGACCGAATAATCAAACAAGTGATTTCTTTCTCTTTTCCTAGTTTTTGTCATTCCTGGGCCGCGGGGGTAGGGAAATGGAGGCACCGTCTTTTTCACACCCAAACTGAGCTTTTGGAAAAAGCATTTATTTCCCCCCATCCGTTCCTGCCCTCCCCCCTCCCCCTTGGCTTGGGAATGAGACGCAGAATGGAAAACTGTTGCAAAAATATTTTCCGCGTCTGTTCCCTTTCTCCAAAGCCCCAAAGAGAGATGGAAAAAAAAAAAAAAAAAAAGGACGGAGTAAGAAATTTTCAACAGGAGGGAGGGGCTGCAATGAGGGGCTCACTGGGGGGGGGGCGGACGTCGGAGAAGTTGGGGGCTGGGGAAGGGGAGTGCACAAATTAAATTTCTTTAGCTTTGTAGAGAAACCTCAGCAGTTTCTCTGCCGCTTGAAAAACATCCTCAGACTTTCACGTCTATAATTAGCTGTGGAAAAAGCTGGGAGTTCCCTCGCCCCACTGTTGTTCAGTGTGCGCCGAGCGTCAAGAACCAACTGTATGAGTGTCTCTGAGGGCACCGCCCCACACATCTCTGGTCCCAAAGGGGAGGAAAGAGCAGGGGGTGAAGTTAGAAAGTTTGCAGTTCCGAGGCTGGTGCCTGTGGGGCTGGTGAGCGTTGAGCGGTTGGGGGTTGGTCACGGGCATCCTGGGGAGGGTCCCCCGAGCGTCCTGGGCCACTGCGCCGTCTTGCAGAAGAGCTGGAAATGATGGTCCCTCCCGCTCTCCTGCACACGTTCGCTCCCTCACATACTTGGCTGGCTCTTGGGGTGGAGGAGGCCGGCTGGCACCCTCCCCAAGGCGAGGCCCGCCTCAGGCGCTCCCCCGTGTCTCCGAAGGACCCACCGCTCTTCTCCAGCTGCGTGGGGGGGGGGGCGACGCGGGAGTGGCTTGCGCATCCTGGGAGCGAGTGGGCACTCTGCTGGCCAGAGGCACCTCCCCCGGGCATTCCTGCCGGACTTACAACAACTTGCAGACGCGGTGTCGGCGCCGGCTGGCCTGGTAGGGGGGATGTCAGATGGAGAAATCGCGGGCACGCAACTGACGCGGCGGGGGAGGGGAAGTGAATCCCGGGCTACAGCGCCATCTCCTCCTCTGGGTGGGGTGTCTGGCTGGGAGGCTGCAGATCCTCCCCTCCCTCCTGGAGCTCCTCCCCAGAGCTGCCCCTTCTTGCCCTTCCTATTCCGAGGCCCCCTCCAGCCCCTTCAGCGCCGGCCCTCTTTCCGCGGAAGGAAGGGAAGAGACCAGGGTCATCCTAGGCCGGGACAGGTCGTGGAGGGGGGCCCTAGGTGGTCAGGACGGGCTGGCTGGGGGAAGGTGGAGGAGGAGTGGGGCAGGAAGAGGTGGTGGCTCCGATGGCTCAGTGAGCCTGGGTCCCTGTAGCCTAGGGGTGCTGGCATGGGGAGCGGGCTCTGGGAGGTGGGTCCTGGGCCTGAAGCTGACCGATCAGCGGGGTCAGTCGGGGGAGGGGGGAGGAAGCACCTGCCTTCTGCCCCAGCTGGTTTGGTTGGAGGGGTGGTAAAGGTGGGAGCTTAGCAACTGGAAAGAAGGAAGCAAAGGGCTTTTGGAGGAGAGCTTAAATGGGGGCCCAGGAAGCAACGGGAACCAATTTTCATTTTGAGGCTTTGGATGATTGATCTGACTGCACCCCAAGGCCAGGCAGCTTCTCCCTCCTTGTCTTCTGATGGAGAATGGAACGAGGCCTTCCCCAGTGGGCAGGGGACCCAAGACAGGATCCATGCCCTTGTTCTGTAGGAAAGGGGGAGGGGAATCCATTTCTTTGCTCCTGCTGGGGAGCCCCATCCTCCCTGCCACCATCTTGCTGAGGTACAACCCCGAAATCACCCCTCCCCCCGCGCGCCCTGCCACCGTGGGGGCCCATAATCCCACCATCCCAGCGGTTGGCCTTCCTATTTTCGGTGCTCTGACTAGGGGTAGGTTCTGGTGGGTTCGGGGAGGGCTTCTCCCCGAGAAGTAGGTCCCTATCTAGCGCGCGCCGAGGCGCCGGCTCCCCTATCCCCCCCACCCCGCCGAGGCCTGGAGTCGCGGGGCGGGGCCGGCGGGGGCACCTCCTCTCGGTTCCCGCCGGGGCTGCTGCAAACCCGCGGCCTCCGGGCTCTGTGCGGCCGGCGCCCCGCCCCGTCGCGGCCTCTCCCGCAGCTCGGCTCCGCCCCCTGGCTCTGCCTTCCCGCGAGTACTCCGCGCGGGAGGCGCTCGAGCGGCCAAGCCCAGGTTTGCCGCCTCCCGGCCTGCGCTGAGCCTCCGGCCCCCTCCCCGGCCCCTCCCCGGCCCCTCCCCGGGCCGGTGCCACCTCCGTGTCCCTGGCTGGATTCAAGGGCAAGTCTGGATTCGAGGCTGGATCGAAGGAGGAGGCGCAGTCTTAGCCCCGGGACTCTCGGCGCCTAACACAGTACCTGACAGGTCATAAGGTGCTTGGTCAACGTTTGCTGAAAGAAGGAAGGGACATTCTGGGAGAGCCTGAGAATCACCCTCCTCCGGGCTGATGTGGGCTTCAGTTCCCCTCCGCACAATGGAAAGCCTGCACCCACTGTGATGGTGGGAGGGAGTGGCTGAGTCAGGTTTGTCCGATTTCTTTGGTGTTTGGTGTCAGAACAAAGTCAAAATGGGAATGCCCGGTTACGGGCAGAAGGGGAGCAGTTAGTTTGCCCAAGGGGTGAGTGCTGGAAGAAGTAAGGCGGTGTGGAGGGTTGGCGGTCCCTGAGCAAAGATATTAGGGAGGTTCACTCTTCCCCGGTGTTGGCTGGAGGGTCTTCAGAGGAAGAGGGGCCCTGGGGCTACTAGGCCCAGCCCTGACTCAGCTGCCACCTGTCAGCTACTCAGCATTCTACAGGAAACTGCCTCTATTTCAAGAATTTAGCTGCGCTCAGTAATCCTCATGGGCCCTTTACTCTTTTTTGCCTGTGTTCTTGGTCTGGGACCAAGCACCCAAAGATATGGATAAGCCCTGCCCATTTAGGGCCTTCCAGATCTATGAACCTTTGGAGGGAGGAAAGGAAGGTGGTCGTTCTGGCTCCCCAGGACCGTAAGAATCATGTTTGGCTTAGGTTGACCCAGGTGTTTGGTTTGACCTTGAAAAGGAATGCCCTACCCTGGGGCCTCACTGTTTTCCCTGGAGGAATTCTTCCAGCCCTTTGATGTCTTCCCCCCCCCCCCCCAAGCCTATCCCTCAGACAGAGCTCCCTTCCCAGCCCAGGTCCCTGTTGATTCCCATCATCCCCAATTGGTATTTGGTCAAACTGGGATGACATCCTTTCCCCTGCTCATTTCCCCTTTCCCCTTTTTGTAGAGCGGGTCATAGAAAGAAAGCAGCTCCTGGGGCTGGAGTCGCCAAGGCTTGTGCGGAATGTTTTGTGCTTCCTCTCCCAACATCTCTCTTTGTCTCCTCTTTCCTCTTTCCCATGTATGAGCCAGCCTTGCTCCACTGACTTACTTCCTTTGCACATGTTAAAAGAGAAATGACAGGGACTTTTGAATTCTGCCTCCACCTTAAGCCAGCCCTCTGTGTTCAGCCCACAGGAATGTGGTCTGAGGAGGGAAACCAGGCAGGATCCAGTTAGGACCAGAGCCAAGGGCTCCGGGTCAGCAGAGGAGCCTTTGGAGCCAATTTGTGTTGGGGAGCGGGTGGAGGGTGGGATAGTGGAAAGGCCAAAGGAGAGAAAAGGGAGGTGAGAATCGAGGCATCAAGGGGCAAGGATCCCTCCTCTCTACTGCCTTCGCCACACTAATTCCTCTCTGGCTGAAGTTTTCAGCCCCATCACTTCTCTGTGCTCTGATTTCCCAAGTGAAGTACAGAAAGCTCTGGGACAATTCAGAATGATGAACTAGAGTGGAATCAGTGAGACCCCTTTGCTCTTGCCTTCCTGCCCGATCACTAGGGCACGGGGAGTGTGAGGTAGTGTGTTTACTGGTGGGGAGGTCAAGGACTCTCAGATATAGGCTCGGGGAAGCTCTCAGCTCAGAACACCTCTAGCAGGATCCACCTAGGTTGCAAAATCGGTGCTAAAAGTGCAAACCAGTACAACTCCTCCAGAGGGCAAGCTAGCAATATAACAAAACAGCATATGCATTTACCCAGCAGTCCTACTTCTAGGAATTTATCCAGAAGATGCACATTCACAGATACAAGAAGACATATGCACAAGGTGATTCTTTAACGCATATTTGTAACAGGAAAGGAAATCACTGGAAACTACCCAATGCTCATCTTTAACAGACTGGCTGAATGAACAACAGTACATCCACACCATGGAGTACTATGCAGCCAAAAAAAGTAGGAGCCCTGTGAACTGATGTGATGTGATTTCTAGGATATGTTAAATGGAAGATGCAAGATGCAAAAGAGTGCATATTGTATGCCACCTTTGAGCTGAGAAAGCAGGAGAAGTAAGAGTTTTTTTGCAAACACACACACACACACGCAAAGGATAAACCAGAAATTAATTTAAATGGTTACCTATAGAGTGGGTGGGAACAAGGTAGAGGAGATAGAGACGGGCATGAAACTTTACTGTTTATACTTTTTTAGACGGTTTTGGGTTTAAACTAGATTTAAATTAGATCCAAAAGAAAGAAAACCGCAAACCCCAAAGCCAACCACAACAGAAACAGTGAACCTAACTGAATATCAGTTTGATTACTCTTCAAAGAAAATAATTAATTCAATTAATTTTTTTAGTTTAATGCCTTGACTCTTAGTGGAATGTATGTTCTCGGGATAAAAAGAACTACAAAAAAAATCTTGA